CCCCAAAACCCCAAAACCCCAAAACCCCAAAACCCCTTAAATTTATATAATAATTGAAAAATTATGAGTGTGATAGGTAAAGAGAAGAGAGACTGATTGGGTCTGAATAAGTCAGCAACAGAGGATAGCCTTGGTCCTGGGAGTTACCTTGGCACCTCTAATATTGGTAGCAGGAACAAAGGTATGATCAGATATCATCTCTAATCCTTCTAGGCCTCAAATTTAGTAATAAATAGCTATTCAAGAGCTTTGGAAGTAAATGATTTGCGTTTATAATTCCATTTAGGGAATTCAAGGTTCTAGACCTATTTTTGATATTAAGGATTTAAATGACTCTAAAGATCATGCCAGTATAATTCAGAATAAAACTCTAGATACAGGAATTAGTTCTCTTCAAAGTGACTTTAAAACTGGAGTTTCAGAAGTTCGAAAGATGAGGGAAAGAATAAAATCTATTCCTCGAAATTGCAAGAATATCATATCTCCACGGCCAAACAACTCCTTTATTTCAAAAGTCCAGCGGTTCTCGTTTAACAAAAAGGAGACTGAATACGTGCCTGGGCCTGGGTCTTATGCCCAAAATAGCCATTGGGATAATAAAGGCACTATTAAAATGCTGAAGGACAGAAGCGTACCTGATCTCAGGGTCAGCAAAGAGTTTTCAGGCAGAAATGTCAACCTTCCTAACCTGAAAAGTTTATGCCTCGATTACATTAATTCAGAGGGGTCAGAATTCTTAAAATTGAAACGGATCTCAAAGAATAATTCTATGAAAGATGATAGCGTTGGACCTGGCCAATACAACCTCTCCAACAGCCTTCAAAGTAAGTTGAAGTAGTTTAGTCTAGGTGGGATAAAGGTTAATTGGCATGCATCCAATACAAGTAGAGAGCTTCCTTCACTAAAGGCACTCAAGAATCAAGAACCAGGTAAGCTTTTGTACTATTATATTCTAGATATTGGCCCAGGGAAATATTTCCCTGTTTTTGGCAATGAAGTCAGCAATGCTAAAGCAGCTAGAAGATCCCTTCAAAATTTGTCTTCTCTACGAAAATCTAAACAAGAGTTTCTTCAAAAAATAAAGAATAAAGCTATTGACCAAGAGTCACTTATTAAGCCAGTAGAGCTTAAAAAGGATCTTCCAGGACCTGGATATTATAATATAAATTTTGAAATACAAACTAGTACAACAAAACCAGAACAATTCCAGTTCTTTGGATCTACTTCGGATAGATTCCCTTCGATAAGGAAAGACTTAGAAGAGAATAACATCAGCCCTGGAAAGTATAGCAAAGAATTTCCTGAAAAGATAAATTTTAAACTAAAAAGAGCAAATAAGATTAAAAAAGAGGTTCCTTTTGGTGCTTCTGAGGATAGATTTTACGATAAAATCTCTGCCGCTCCTCTCTCTAATCCTGGTACGTTCCTTTCCTCCCATCTCCCTTACCCTCTACAGAACCTCCTGCCAAAACCCCTCAGAAAAATCTCCAAATCAAGAAGCCCTTCGTGGGCTCTCCGACCAAAAAGTTCCTTGAGGCTTTTCAAAACGCTGATCTTTTCCCTCAAAGATGAAGCTCAAAACCAACAAATTTAATAAAAAAATAAAAAATAGGGAGATTTTATGAAAATGTGAGATTTTGGAAAATTTTAAGATTTTTCAATTTTTCAATTTTAGGGGAAGTTGAGGGGTTTTGGGGTTTTGGGGTTTTGGGG